AAGGAGGTCCACAGAAGCACAAGATTTTAAGTTCTGCAGTGCTGGATTGCAAGAATTATTTTGCCTGGCAGAGAAGTGATACTTGATTGAGAAACTCACAATTCTGGATCCCAGCCTCTGTTTCTGTGCTCACGGTTTGCAGGTATAGATTAAATTACTCAGGTGTCTCAGACCCTGATTGTCTCTACATAAGGTGGCGGCAGACTTCTAAGCATACTTCAATGTACTTGTAAAATTATGAGTGCAGAACCAGGCTGAGGGGACAACCAGGCTAAAATCTGGCCCGATGAATACAGTGAAAATGATTCACATGGTTCCACAACTTAGAGATAAAATGTCTGTTGAAATGAAAAGCAGATAAACTGTGAACAAGTAAAAAGTCAGCTCGTGACTGTTCAACAAGCTTTACCACAAGTACCTGAAAACCCTGAGATAAATGAGAGCGTGTAGCACTGGCCTCTGAACTTGCAGAAGAAAAAGATTGTCTTCTGTATGAAAGCAGATTTATAGCAATATCCAGTTTTCACCTGCAGACAATGCCTCTTTGATGTGACTAAGCCCAGTCCACAAAGAAAGGGCTCTCTTCTATATAATGCAATAAACACAAAAAGGCACGGTTCTGCTGATTTTTGTTTGGCCCTGCAGAAGTCAAGTTGGGGACGGGACTGCTAAGCTGGGGGAGAGGGAAGGGGCTTTTCCAGCTGTGCCAGCAACAGGTGCTGCAGACCCTGTGGGGACACCTTGAGATGAAGACTGAGTAGCACAGCATCAGAAGGAGCAGATCTGCTCCTCAGGGCAGCAGCAACCATCAGGTGGTGATGCACAAATCAATCAATAGGATTGTAAAGGTGGTAGCTAGGACCATCCTTCTGAACCACATGAGGGAGGATCTGGTTCTTTATCTCAGGAGAACAGTTCAAACTATCCTATGTCAGGAAGCAGTTCTGAAGCGCTTTAAACAGAAGGCAGAGAAACTTTGGATCAGATGTTTAAAACTACCTATGCATACAAAATGGCCCTAAGCTGGATTTTCAAAAATGCCTGGCTGCCTCATTCCTTTGTGGTACCTGAATGAGAAATACATTTCCTTATCTCCTTGAGAATTGTGTTCAATATGGCTTGGACTCTCAGCCACCAAGAAGAGTTGCTTTGCTATATGGAGATGTCTCTGAAGTCTTCTGTCAAGGAACATTTGGAAAGTAAAAGTGAAAAACAAACTATGGGCTGTTAAGAGTTTTGTACTGAGTTTAAAATTCACACGACAGGGTAATACTTTAACTTATAACTGCTTGTCTCGGGACTCTTTAACTGCAAGGGATCTCAAGTCCCCATTACTACAGTACCTGAGGGCCTCCATCTTAACCCTCTTGTGAAGTTGGAGGACTCTTTATTTTCCCTGATGAACAGAAACCTGAGGCATAGAAGTACACAGGCCCAGATTCTTAAAGATACTTAGGTCTGGCTTCACTGTAACCCCTCGATGGCCTTCAGTCTGGAACATGAGACCTTGGCTGGCCAAGCTGAGCTGAGCATAAAAACTGGGCCTATGTGACTTCCCAGTGTTCACCCAGAAAATCTGTGACAGTGCAGCCGATTGAACCAGGGGAAGATGGAAGTGGCATAGCAAGGAGCCAACAGGAGAAGGAGCCAGAATCAGTGTAGGAAAAGAGAAGCTGGAGGGATACAGCAGGGGAAGTTCTGGGCACACTCCCCTTGCCAATCCTGAAACTGAACTCCTGGATTCCTCAGCATTAACTTCAGTTCATTTGGCTGTCCAGCAAAGAGCTGTGAAACCCACTGGCAATTAGTCTCTCCATCCTCTAGTAGCTGGACTGCAAGGGTGATAACTGCCTTCCACTGCTACCCATCACTTCATTAGCACAAGTGGTGGAGGACTGGCTTGCGGATTTAAGGATCTTAGCTCTCCTGACAACCCATGTTGGACTGCTTAAATAAATATATTTACAAACTCAGGAAATGACATCCTAAAAAATGACAGCAAAGGAATATTAAGGTTGTAGGATTGAGCATTCAAGCACTAGAGAATTAAGGTCCTTCTCATGCATAGGCATTATGCTACAGTCTTTAATTATAAGATCCCATAATTCGTTCCCCACTCCTGCTCCCCAAAGCAGGTAGCTATTCAATAAGTCTCTCTCCTCATCATTGAGCATGTGAGCCCAGGCACCATTTACTACACCTCAGCCAAACTTGCTCATTTTTCTCAGTCCTCCTTTTTATCAGATCATTGGGCTTCCCACACCAGAAGTCCACTACTGGCAGGGAAGCCCTCATGCAATAATGCTCTGTGTAGTGAACAAGACTAATGAGCTTCATGGGGACCTCCATTAACTCAGACAGGCAGTCAGACTCCCAGCTCCTTAGCTGAACCCAGACCTTTGGACGTTCTCTCCATCATGCGGGTATTTTGTGGATGCAGGCTGAGCCCAGTACTGAACTTCTGGTCATTAGGTCTTATGTTAAATGCACTGAGGTTTGTATACATTAACCTCCCTGCCCTGGAAAGTGCATGCAACTGTCTGGTGGCCCCAAGGGCCTCTGCCCTCTAACCTTCCTTGAAGAACTGGCCCTGGATGAGCATTTCTGTCTCTGGCAGCTCTGTATGTAGTCATGCTCCTGGGCAATGTCTTTTCTTTTCAATCCTGCCCTTTTTCATTCTCCGGTTGACCTGTAAGCAGCCCTACATGTTCCCTTTGTGCCCAAGTGCTGAGCCAATGAAACCTGCCCAGTTAATTAAGTTTAACAACAGCATTTCTGCAATGATTCTGTTCTAACACATTTAGTTGGGATTTGAAATTCTTTAGCTTTCTGTTCAGCATTTGTGCAGCAGGGTGTCATAAGGCTCTTGGACTGGCTCACACAATCAGTCTCGGGCCCTGGACACAATCCAGGGCGCTTGCTACAGCAGGGGGGCAGCCTGAATGAAGCAATTGTCCAAATAAGGTGTCACCACCACTCTTTGTTTTATTCAATGGGAAACCATTGCAGCCAATACCCCTAAGGCAGAACTCACAGTGGTTTCTAATGCTGTGGTTATATGTTTGCATGCATAGCCATGCAACCTGAAAGACTAGGTTTCCAGGCTTAGCTGCCATTGTCAGGGAGAGGATCTTTTGGGAGACAGTAAGGCAATTTATCTACTTGAGGACCAGAATTTTCCCAGTTTCCCCCTAGTCTCTTTTGGAGGATGGAATGAATACAATATATCTATATTGTTCAAAACGTGCAAAAACTGCAATAAAGTGTACAAAGCACAGCAAAAGACTGACCTCTGCTTCAGGGCATTTAAAAAAAAAATGATACACAACAGACTACAGCCCAGACAATGCTTTGCCTCACTGTACTACACTTTAATGCAAATATAACATAGGCGTGTCAAACTGTATGCAGGATTTTTTAATATTAATTTTAAACTTTAATTTGTTTCTCCTTTTATCTGCTCCAGTGTGATGGTGGTGGGGTGGTCAGAAAGGCCTACTGGAAAGGAAATTGTGAACAAGTGAAGGTAGAGAAGGGTTTCTGGGAAGACGACAAGCCAGAAATGAGAAGCCAAGGAGGGGAGCTGGAAGAGATGAGAGATAAAGGGGAGATAAAGACGGGGAGATATTGGGCGGTGCTTTTAAGCAAACATGGAATACAGAAGGAAAGGGGAAGATATCCAAAGAGCAGAATGGGCAGAAGAAAAGCTTTACAGCAGTAGCCACATTTATAAAAGACTTCAAAAAGACAAAAAGAGAGGCATGAGAAGAGAGGGAAAAGGCCGTCTTTGTCAGAATCCAACCTGACCAATGTCTGGACTCAGGTTTTCGTGGTAGCAGTGGATAGAATTTTAAAGGATCAGAAGGAAATAGTGAGACGATATAATCTTGAAAAAAATATTGGAGAGTACAGTGACTACAGATCTAACTGTCTTTTAGGGATGGCATGGCCCCTGAAACCCTGCATATCCTCAAAGGGCTTCCTGAAAGATAAGAGACCCTTCACCCTGAGCTTGGAATCTCCTGGTCTCAGTGGCACTAATTTGCAAGCCTGCAGGGATGTACTACCACTGCTTGATACTGAGAGAAGCTACCTTTTTCTTTGGCTAATATGGATCATAGCGTTCCTTAATTTAACCCAAAATACAGATAGCAAGCCACAGTTGAGACTAAGTGAACATGGCTAACTACACAGATTTTTTCCTTCTCTGGGAGAAAGCAGTTCCGATACAAGGCAGAGCCATGAAAAAGCGAATATAGAAATCGCCTAGTATGGATCCACCAAGAACACTTGATCCATGAGAACTACCACCTGGTGGCCAACTCACAAGGCCAGAGCCTTGGCAAAGGTCATCTGCTGAAATGGACAGTGACGGACTAAATGACTTGGCAGCTCAATCACAGGCCTGGAGGTTTCCCCAGAAGTATTCCATCTCTGGCTCAGAGGATTTGCTCTACCTTGCACAAGTGCCCTTCCTTGCAGGAAAGCTGAGCTTGCTCACTCATTTTCCCCAATTTGTCTCCTATATAACTGCAATAGGGCAGTGTGATGAAAGATGAAATTCTACTTGAACACATTGACAAAAATAGTCCATACTTTTCATTTGCTCATGGTCTCTGAGCCTGGGGTAAAAATAGACTGTGAGCTCTTGAGGGAGAGGCTGTATTTGTTTTGCTTCTTTATACAATGCCTACCACAATAGGGCACTGATTCCTGGTAAGTGCCTCTACAAGTGCTACAAGATTTGCAAAAAAAAACTGAACTATTTACTACAAAACAGAAAAGAGGTTATTGTTGTGGAGGAAAAAATGTAATTCAGTGACCCAAGTCTCTAAATATGTAGAACATATCGATGCAGAAAGGTTTGCTAGCAAAACTATTTTGTCGCAACCTGTTTACACAACAAAATTAACCCTATCAGGACATACCGAACCCTCTCAATGGAAAACAAGATTCAAAGTACTCAGCCCAAAAAGTACGTAGCTTGCAAGTACTCTTACCTGACATCATTACCCCCATGGGCGAAAGATCCAAAGCAGGCTGTCAGGATCTGGAGAAAGTGAAAAAGTAGGTGGACTTCAGAGGTGTCTTTCTCCTCTTTTTCCTCCTCCACAGGATCATCTGGGGGTTGGTTAGGATCTGACAGCTCTGATGCCAACTTCATCTCCACTCCACCTTCTTCTGCCTCAATCTCTGCTTCAGCTACAGCATTGCAGTAGCTAGAGTAGCTGTCATAGCGAACTCTCTTTTTAGAGTAAGACACTGTGTCTCCTACTAACTTTTCACTGTCTTCTGGAGTCGATGTGTCAGTTGCTTTGAAGGCTGAATGTACTGGCATTCCACAGATGGCAGCCGTGTAACATGTGTAGCTGTTGTTGCGTCGCAGCAGCTTGTAATTGTTGTCTTGAGTGGGCCTGTCATCATTGGCTCTGTCTAGGTGTATTTTGTGGAGCAAGTCTTTATATAATCCTGAGTCTTTGTGCACAGTGTGGTATACATGGCCATCGCTCCTCATGTGACCATCAAAATTAAAGGTGCCATTGGAGACAGGAGATTTCATGGAAGTGTGCGTCATAGAAAAAGCCCTACCTGAAAAAGCAGAGGCAAAATAGAGGTGATGTGCACTTTCCTTCAGCCTTTGCTTCCTATGCATGTGTTAACTGCAAGCGTTCTAGAACAAGGAAACATTTTCAAAAGCACCTAGGGACACAGACTTCTAAGTCACTTAGAAAACAAGTCACTTGAAAATAGGAGTTAGATTTTTTTTTTTTTTTTTAACTTTGACCCTAAGTAAAGATCATAATAAATTGTAATTTGACTGGCATTCCATCACTGGATTGTGAGAGGATTTACTTGTACAGCTCCAGAAACTGTACCCAGCCAACTATAATTCGAGTATACTCAAGTGCAGTTTTTCTTGTAAAAAATAGGCTTCTACCTAATCATACTGAACATCCTCTACATTTTATTTCTATTAATATCATGACTATACTGGCATGTAGCTAATGTATTCCACAGAACACAAAATGGCCATGTTCAGGTTATGAATGACACCTTAACTTTTCCATTTCGTAAATATTCAACTGCCCAAAGGAAAAAAAAAAATAGTATTTTTTTTTAATTGGTAGTTGTAGCATACATTTCATAGATTTTATAGACATTAGAGCTGGAAGGGACCTCGGAAGATCATCAAGTCCAGCCCCCCGCCCAAAGGGCAGGAAGTCAGCTGGGGTCATAGGATCCTAGCAAGATAAGCATCCAATTTGTTCTTGAAGGTGTTCAATGTAGGTGCGTGAACCACCTCCGATGGCAGGCTGTTCCAGACCTTAGGGGCTCGGACAATAAAGAAATTCTTCCTTATGTCCAGCCTGAAACAGTCTCGCAGTAGTTTATGACCGTTCGACCTTATCAGTTTAAGTATGAGTTAATACATCTAAGTAATTCTCAAAAAATGTGGTAATCAATTATTAGTAAACTTACATGGCCATGTAGACGTTACCTAAATCACAGGTAAAAAGGAAAATCTTTTATTTCAGGGGTGCTCAACCTCCACTCCACAGGCCAAATGTGGCCTGTGGAGCCTTGGAATCTGGCCTGTGGGACTCCTCATGGGTTGATAAATTTGGTGGCAGGGAAACAGGGCCAGTTAATACCACCACCCTGCTCCACTGCCTAAATTCCAAGCTCTGCAGGTTGGGTCGGAGCTGGGCCATAACCCTCCCCACTGTAAGGCCAGAACAGAGCCAGGCCAAACCCCCTTCCCTCCACCCAGTCAGGTTGGGGCCAAGCTGTACCCACCTCTCCTGGCAAGGCCAGGCGATGCTCCCTTCCCTCCACCTGCCCAGGCTGGGGCTAAGCCACATCCGCTTCCTCCCATACCCCATCCAGTGGGGCTGCCCTACATGCCCTTCCCTCCACCTGACCAAATTGGGACCAGGCCATACCCCCTTCCTCCCATGGGGTCAGGTCATGCCCCCTTCTCCCCCATGGGGCTAGGACTAACCCCCTACCATTGCATGGCTGGATTGGGTCTGGGATCTTCCCCCTCTGCACAGCCAGATCTGGCCTATTGAGGGATTGGGCACTGCATATCTGGCCTGCTGGCCAGAAAGATTGAGCACCACTGTTCTAGTTGATTAGTTAAGCAGCACCACTCAGTTGCATGCCTTTCAACAACTACAGAAAATTTTTTTATACCTGTGTAAACGCATGCACCGTACACTATGGGTATAGATACTAGAGCCAAAGTCAGCGGGCCAAAATATGGTTACAGGATCTGTCCTGACAGACCAACTAGCCAAAATGGCACCTTAAACAAGTGAGGGCTTTACTGCATACCCACATGCTCTCTGTAAGCGCATGTTCACAGCCATGAGATTTTTCTAGGGGACATACTGCAAGTGATCATACATTTGTCAACTCCAAACCAATACTTTTCAAGCCTTAGCAAGAATAGTACAGAGAAATTCCATGCTACATTTTAACTTTCATAGTTGAGATGTTTTCATATTTCCTGCATTTTAAAAATGGTTTTAAAAATAGGAAAGAAGTAGCATTAAGAACAGGAATAAGAGGAAATTAAATTACCTAGTTCAGCTGCATATAAAAATCAAAAATGTCTGAAAAGAATTATTCAGTTTTTTTAGTCACTTTCTTGTTTTTTCCTACAAAGCTGTGATTAATTAAAAAGGAAGGGGTTCTAACCAAAAACGCAAAGCATTAGCCATTTCAGTTGCTAACAGGAACTGCTACAGGAATTTTATATATATATATATATATCCATTTTGAGAACTTTCAAATTAAACAGAAACATACCTAATGGAAATGGATCCAAGATCCCCCCTTGACCCTTTGATCAGAAAACACCATCCAAACAATGGAAAGATAAAACTTGCCATGTTTCCTTGGTTTCTTACCATATGGCACACGTGGATGGCTTCCATTTGCTACGCTATCTGACACTCCGGCAGCTTCTGTTATTGAACCAGTGAGGGGAATTGTGCTCTCATCAGTTGCTTTGGCACCAGGAAGCTCTTTAAAGACAGGTGTCTCCTCATCTTGAATTTTATCAAGACTTTCATCTGATATCCTTGATAATGCAGCGTCCTTCTTTAACCGGCCTAAGGAAATGCTAATATTGTAATTCTAAACCAATCTTCTTACAAAATGGCTAAGTTATTCAATCTTATCTGTACCACTCCTGATACTCATGATGGCATACCAACATTAATAAAACAAATTCACCTGAAAACAATAGCTTGAGTGGTTTACTTACTGTTCTGCTAATTCTCCAGGCACACGTTCCTTCATAGGAATATATTACTGGTACATTTATCTTCATTATTCCTTGAAAATCATGAAAATACAGGTCCCTTGCAGCTATCTAGAAGTTCAGTGTTTCTCAGCC